AAACTATTCATCTTCTGAGTTTGAAGTATTGTCACCAATCTATTCAATCAAGCTAAGATGTTCACCTTCATGACTGATACCCTCAAGTAAATTATTCTGTGCGGAATCCGGTTATAGAGCTGTGTTCGGATAACAGTAAAATTATTACGCGTGGCTTGCTTATGTGGAAAGTTAGGATATTCATTTGACTTATTACCCGACCCGTTTGTCTTTTCGGACTTACTGCAGACGAAGAGAAATCCGCAACAAATAAGCAGTAATTAAGCAGAAAATGCGCAACATATACGCAATAAATACTCAATAAATACGCAACAAATACGTAACAAAATACGCAATCAATACGCACATTTTACGCAACGAATACGCAATAAATACTCAATCAATACGCAAGTCAAATAAATATAGTGGACTTTTAACTTTCCACGTAAGCATCCGAACACAGCTCTATAACCGGATTCCGCACAAAATAATTTCTCCAAGTAGAGATGCTTGCTTGGGCATGTTTTGATGATAGCACTCACAGACAAGGTGTTTAAAGCACTATAGCCATTCTTGTCTTGGCAGAGGGCCTAAACAAGAGCTTGACTTCTTTTAACCACATTGTTTATGTACACACCTTGAACCCTTATTGATAGCCACAACATTTACTCTAGAAAAAACCGCCGTGTACTAGAATCAGAATCAAAGTTGCAAGGAGAAGTCAGAAGATGCATAATCCGCTAAGGCGCTAACACACCACCAAACATGCTACAAGAAAACCACTTCATTAGGAACCACAACAGAAGAAGCTCATTATAGTCCCGAGAAGTCCTCTTCCCTTCAAAATTGCAAAGAAGCGACTAACTACAATCCCGTGAATCCCGCGAAGGTAATTTTGACTAGATACACAGGAACCATTAATAGAAACAGAGTGCGCTAAATTATCATATTAAATAGGAAGAGATTGATTAAGCCTAAAAATAAAATAGATAATAGATATCACATATGGAAGTGCAGTGCATAATAGTGACTAAACACAAAAAGGGTGGTTCAACCAAAATAATAAAGCCATACAAGACATGCTTTGTGCCTATTTTATTTTGTTTCATTTTCATATTGGTTTTTGTTTCCAGTCTAAATAAAAATAAGTTTTGGTGCTCTAGTTTTTTCTCATCTTTAGAAACCAATATATGTATATGTATATGTATGTATGTATATGTATGTATGTATGTATGTATGTATATATATATATATATATATATGTTTAAGAATAAAAAATGAAAATAGGAGAATCAATATTTAATAAGCATAAATTAATATTTAATACATAATTGGGTCAGCCATTGTAAAAAGCATAAATAAAACTCATTTTAAATTTCATAGCACATTGTTTTTGGCCCTTGAAGCATATACAACGGGACCAAAGCACATTGTTTTGGCCCTTAAAGCCTGGTTCTACATGTTCCATGTGCAAGAATTTTGGGCATAATCGTTTTAATGGTATTGACATGATATTAGCTTCTTCGTTTGCTTCAATGGACTTTGACTTTAGTACCCAAGCAAAGTTTAAAGTGTAAAGCATAAGGTTGGCAATTCAAAGCACAAAGCAATTGGCTAGAGTATTTCTAAATTTTATTTTATTTTATTTTGTATTTTAATGGGTCAAGCCAGACACTACAGGAAATTCAACGATTACAGGCAGTTAACACGCCGCCGATAATAACGTCTGTTTAACCGGCGGTTTGGCCGCCAGTGTTTACCGGCGGTCTAACCTGCGATTATGTAAGTTAATGCCGCCGACAAAAGCGCCGGTCCAGAAACCGACGGCTAAACGGCCGGCATTAAATCTTACCGGCACTTTACTTGCGGCTAGAACCGCCGGTGTTAAGTGAACTTCTCTCCGGCGGTTTGGACTGCCAGATAGCCACCGGAAAATGCCCTAAAATATTTCGTCCCGAGCCTTCCATTTCATTTCCCTCCCTGCTCTCTCTCTCCTGCGCGGTGCTCGCCTCCGCTCCTCCGCCCTCTCGTGATCGAGACTAGTGCTCCGGCCGCCAACAAGCTCCCTCCAGCCGTCGAAATATTCCTCCAAAGGAAGATCTCGCCCCCACTGCAACGCCGAAGGATTTCCCCGCTCCCGTGCGCAACGCCTGCCTCCGAGGTTTGCGGTTTTAAATTTTTTTTTATGCATTTTGTTATTTCGGATATATTACATCAAGGATCAGCCTTAAGCCAATATCTTTTTGCTTTAGTCATGCATGTTTTCACTAGACATTCAAGAGAGGATTTACCTTGTTGTATGTTTTTTGTTGGTTATATTCTTCTTGTTGATAAGATTAGAGAGGGAGTTTAGGGTAAGCCTTAAGCCAATATCTTTTTGCTTTAGTCATGCATGTTCTCACTAGACATTTGAGAGAAGATTTACCTCGTTGTATGCTTTTTGTTGATGATATTCTTCTTGTTGATAAGATTAGAGAGGGAGTTTAGGGTAAGCCTTAAGCCAATATCTCTTTGCTTTAGTCATGCATGTTCTCACTAGACATTCGAGAGAGGATTTACCTTGTTGTATGCTTTTGGTTTATGATATCCTTCTTGTTGATAAGATTAGAGATGGAGTTTAGGGTAAACTTGAATTATGGAGGTCAATCATACAGTCTAAAGGGTTTCGCTTGAGTAGATCTAAAACTAAATATATGAAGTGTAATTTTATTAGTAATAGACCTAGTGAGGGGTTTGTGACTTTGGGCGATCAAGTCATTAATAAAAGTACACGTTTTAGATATTTTGGATCTATTGTTCAGAGTGATGGTGAAATAGTAGGGGATATTATCAGCATAATTCAAGTTGGATTGTTGAAATGGAGGAATGAATCGGGCTTATTGTGTGCTAGAAAAGTCTCCCTCAATCTTAAGGTAAAATTCTATAAGATGGTGGTGAGATCTGCAATGCTTTATGGTGTCAAATCTTAATCATTAAAAGAGAAGCATAATACTAAGTTAAGTGTTGTAGAGATGAGGGTGCTCAGGTGGATGAGTGGCTTTACCCCTAGAGGTAGGATATGAAATGAGCACTCTGTTTAAAATTGCGCAATAAGAGGCGCGCCTTGAGGCGCGCCTCTGCGCAATTTGACCCAAAAACGCCTCGAGGCTTACGCAATTTCTCTCCTGGCAGAGGCGTACGCCTCACCTGGTCTGAGGCGCGCCTCAGAGGGGCAATTGCGCAATTCTGGGTGAGGCGTACGCCTCATAGAACCGGCCCCATCCACTTAAAATGAAGCCTTTTCTCCCCTTAATCCCGCACGGCTTCCAGGTTATCCCGAAATTTTCCTTCCTACAGCCTGTGTTCACGAAACAGAGGGGTTCCCGCACGGTCGGCTTCCCTTCCCGCCGCCTCTACCTCCGGCGCCGCCTCTCTCCGGCGAACTTGAAGTGTCCGGCCGCCCTCTAGGAGTAGTCCACAATCGATTTTAGGTATTTTTTTTAGTTTAGGGCTAGATTTTTCAAGTGAAAGAAAATCTATGATTTTTTATTTTTTTTGTGTGTTTTTGAATTTTTGCTTTAGGAAACATGGTTAGATGCAAATAAAAGGCGAATACGTCATTGCGGCGTGACCCTTCTTGGAAATATAGTGTGCAAGTTGACTTAGGAGGCGGGGAGAAGACGCATGTGTATTTAAAATGCAATTTTTGTGAGAAAGTGGTGAAGGGCGGAGTAACCCTATTTTTCAATGATTCCATTTTATATATTCTTTGTACTTTGAGAATTTTGTTAAACTAATATTTTGTGATTTGTACTTTGGGACATGATTTTATTGCATCTATTTTCTTACTTTCCACTATTTTCATATATAATTTAGATGTTTTTATTGTATGATAAAATCTAGCTACTATTTACCTGCTAAAACCCTTAAATTCTTATTTACGCAATTCTGCGTCCGTGAGGCTTACGCCTCACACCGCCTCAAGGCTTACGCCTCGCCTCACGAACGAAAACCGCCTCAAGGCTTAATTACACAATTTTAAACCTTGAATGAGCATGGATGTTCTTTGTGCTTTAGTCATGAGTGTTCTCACTAGACATTTGCGAGATGATGTACCTTGTTGTATGCTTTTTGTTGATGATTTTATTATTGTTGATAAGACTAGAGAGGGAGTTGATGGTAAACTTGAATTATGGAGGTCAACCATAGAGTCTGAAGGTTTTCGCTTGATTAGATCTAAAACTAAATATATGAAGTGTAATTTTAATAGTAATAGACCTAGTGAGGGGTTTGTGGAATAGAACCCCCAGTATGAAGGGAATTACCCATGGTAATTGACGTCGTCGGAACTCTACTAAAACTGCCGGTATGTACTGGCGGTTTGCCGGCGGCGTTCGGCGGTAATATTTACCGGCGGGTTACTCTATAATAACGACGGCGTATATACCGGCCGCCAATAAAACAACCGGCGGTCACCGACTCTTTGACCGCTGGAAGATAACTGGCGGTACAAACCACCGGAAACCCGCCAGTTAAGGAAACCGCCGGAAAAACACCGCCGGTAATGGTTTATGGTGCCGTTTTTTCCGGCATTTTTTTAACCGCCGAAAAGCCGCCGGTGTTTTTCGAAACCGCCGGAACAAGCCGCCTGTAATGGGTGAATTTCCTGTAGTGAGAGGTCTCGACATTACATATTTGCAGGAAACACTTCAATTTTGATATTTTTAAGTGCACCCCTCAACATGCCTTTACAATGTCAAATTTGAGATTGGACATTGAATATTGATCAGAAGAAAAATACAGGCAAGAGCAACAAGCCTAATAACATCTTAGCTGCTTTTAGCATTCCAACATAAGTAATTAGTAAAAAGCAAATAATGGTCACATATATATATACTAGAATATTCGCACATCTGCATAGCAATCTAATGTATGTTATATATCATAGTTGTATCAAACTTTGCAGGAAAATATTACTCCATCCATGGGATATGCAAACATCAAAATGTAGAGCAAAATTTATACAGACAAATGAACCAAACCTGCAGAGGGCACGGCTGTCACCATGTTACATATTGCACAACAAACATTGGCCGCCCCTCTTGGATAAAGGAGAGGGATCCTACATCCACTGCATATAAGTTGGCTCTGCATTGCCTGTTTAGCAATCATCAGAAAGTGAGAAAGTGAACAATGGAAATGCAGCAAAGGACTTTTATTTTCAAGGGATAAAAACAATTCCGTGAAATTAGTTTTCATTCAACCAGGCTTAAGTTTAGAACACATTACTTCTAAAGAAAATTCATTCAGATAATAAAACCATCCCACATGAAGCGTTGAAGAAAATTCATTCAGGCTCACACAAGAAAAAGACCAAAAGTTCTCAAATAAACATAAAATAGAATAGATAAGATATGAGTCAGCTGATTTCACCATGGAGCTTTTGTCGATTCTAATCACTCCATATATCTAATCAAATTCATAAAAGAAGCTCCTTTCATGCGTAGCCAATCCGGCAACAATTACACATGGAATAAATTAAAAGGAAAAAAAAATTTGCCGAACGCAGCCAATAATCCGTCGTTTTCATGTGCGAATCTGCAAGTAACCCCCATTACCAACCATAAAGTAAAGAATTAAATTAAAAAAATCCCAATCCCTTATCCCTAAACTATGGATGACCTAGAACACAACAAAAATTGAGAAAAATAGCATCGAATCGACCACCTCCTCAAACTTGAACAGGTAACGAGCAGAAATCAAGCTAACTGCGAGCGAATTGACGATTTCTACCTCACCTTACCTCTCAATCTCACGGCTTCTTAGCCTGGGCGAAGGGAGGACGACCAAGAAGACGAAGAGAGAAGAAGAAGAAGGATGGAGGAAGGAGAGTAAGGTAGAGGACGGCGAAGGGTTCGACTGTTCAGCTGCAGTTCAGCTGCTGCTAGATTTCTCCAGCGAGGAGGTTAATCCTGATTTTTTGTTTTAGTTAATTAAAGTGTATTAAACTAATCTCGTGGGGTTAGGTAACCGTAGGTGAGTTTAAGTTCTGCCGCGAGGACTATTGTAGATTTAAAATAAATATTTTAATATTATATATTTGTTTAAAATTTCATCATCTCTAAGTTAAATGTATCATTATAATTTAGTATCAATCATATTTTAAGATTAATTATCAATGTCATTATTTTTCTTAAAACTAAATTATATTTATCTTTTTTTTTTCATTTGACGTAATTTTATAATTATTTTAATTAATTTAAAATCAATTATAATAATTTAAAATTTATTAAAAGTAAAAAATAAAGAACCCTAAACCCTTTGTCCCAAGTTCTTGTATTTGTCCCCCTTTATCTATTTTTTAGTCATTATTATAAGAGTTTTTTAGGCAATTATCCCCCTAAAAGTTTGAAAATACTATGATCTTTAAGCAATTGCCCCCAACATAATTAAACACATTGTATATGTATTATTGTTAGGGCTGTCAATAATTGACACGACCCGAAAACCCGACTCGAACACGACACGGAGTTTTCGGGTTGGACCCGACCCGTTTGGAAAACGGGTCGGTTTCGGGTTCATAAAAATGACACGAATTAAATTTCGGGTCGGGTCCGGGTTAACCCGGTAACCCGTTAACGACCCGTTTGACACGGGAATTAATTTCACGCGGATAACGCTAACGGGATGAGTAAATAAGTCGCGTTAGGGTTTTACGCGATCATTTTTCATTTCACGCGTCGTATCTCTCCAGCCTCTCCTCTTCTTCGCTGCTTCGTCTAGGGTTTCCGAAGTCCTCTTCTCTACAGATCTCCTCGATCTGTCTCTGGTTTCCTCTTTTCTCCTTCTCTGGAATATTCTTGGTCCGTGGTTTCATCCTTTCGTGCTGTTCATCGTGCACATCTGCTTTGGATCAACAAGAACACTTACCTCTGTCGCTGTTTGTATCTCTCATCTTCTTTCCTTTCTTCTCCTTTTCCTTTGATCTACATATGATTAACCAAATATAAAGAGATATAGTAAATCAAACTTTGTTCCAGTGGAGTTGCCCCCGAAAACACCCGCAGGGGCGCCAACCCCCGCTAGGGGAAGCTGCCCCCTTGGACCTAAATCATAGTTAATATTAGTAGCACATATTCAGAGTTAATATTAGTAGCAGCATCGAAAAATATTATTCAAGCATGTCAATTATTTAGTTATGTGAATCTTACAAAAAATTTGTTTGTTCTTCTTATAAATATCAATGTCAAATGTTAGATTTTGTTTGTCAACGTTTTTTTGCTGCTTTTTAAAATAACTTTCTTGTGTAAAAATTTCTTGAATTATAAATTTTTGTACTAAAAAACTGTTTTAAAAAGCAACAAAAAAATTATCTAAAATGAAACTTTAATTGAAAGTTGATAAACTAAGAGATGTTAAAATGACAAAATTATGAAGGCATTTTAAAATGTGGTATATATACATTTTTGAATTTTCTATATAGTTTGGATATCATGTTTGATGTTGTTTTGTAAGAGATTACTTATTTATTTATTTTATTTGCAATGGTGTTGAAGAAGCTAAGCTATAGAAGCAAAAAAAGTAAAGATTATATAATATATACTGAAAAAAAAAATGGAAATTATAAGATGGGCTATAAATGATCTCAATATTTTAATGGGATCATTGAGCTTTAATATTCTTATAATTAAATGAAATTAACTCATTACAAGAATTGTTGAGAATATTTTCTTAGTAATATAACTATGCAATCATTTAGGCATCTCGTTTTGCACTTTATATTAATGTAAGCAAATGGTCTTGGCTAAGGCTGTAAATGAATCAAGTCGAATCTAGCAGGGGGTTGCTTGAGCCTAAGTTTCTTTGCCAAAACCAAATTCAGACTCAATTCGAGAATTTGTTGTGTTCAAGCTCAGTCTGCTTATAATTATAACTGTTTGAGCTTGGTTTAAGCTCAGCTTGTTAGCTAATCAAACGAGTTGTACTGAATTTATCAATGAGCAACACTACCCCAAACAAAGCCTAAATGTTGCATACCTAAGATATAAACTGATGAAGAATAATTATGAGTATCAAAATTTTTGTACATTGATTTTTTTTTATATGAAGAATGATTATGAGTTAAAATATAGCCTTACACGCCTTAGTTATGTTAAATGTGGAGTAAATGCATGATATATGTATATATCATATTTCCAATAATAATGTAATAGACGCTTATAATTTCTTAGGAAATTCACGTTATCAAAATTTATAACTGACTAAAAGCACACATATAACCCTACCAATGGAGAAATTATTATGTGCGGTCATCGGACGGTCCAGAGGCGAATCAATATACGTTATGTCATCCTGATACACAGAGCTACACAGCACCGATACACAACAAAAAGTAATATGACATGTTGATTCGCCTATGGACGGTGTTCAAAGACAGCACATAATAGTTTCGCCAACCAATGAGGCTCGAGTCAGGGCTTCGCTTCGAACCTGCAACACATTTTGAGAGAGGAGGTTTGGACTAAGCACAAAAAAAAGAACAAAATCTATATATTGGCAACTAAGGTTTCCTTTAGAATGGTTTTTTTATTGCATTATAAAAACCACTTTGGAAACAGTAAAAACAGTTCCAAACAAAGCCTTAATTTTAAATCTTCAAAATAACTGTAAAATACTTGAGAAACACTGATAAAATAGACAAATTCCAGTGAAGTGTGTGAATTTATTAGTAAAAACCTGCCAAAAAGGAGTACACAGCTGCCTCAACACCACCATTGCAGAAGAATATGTCCTGCTGCAATCAGAATTTGTACTTAAGCTGGGAGACTTGCGACAGTTGACTGTTTAGTTTTCCTATCTGACTGGTAGCTGTTTCGCTATCAATTATCTTCTCCATTGTAGTAGACATGAAATGTTGCAGATCCATGGACTCTTATGTTGATAAACTCAATGACATTTATCAAAATGCATGCACTACAATGGGCCAACCAACGAATTTGACTTGTAAATACATCAAATGGAACAATAAGAAAGCTATCCCAAACAAAACTTAAGAATCTAGACAAAACGAGAAAGAGATTGTTTGTGAAGATGAGGCGATAAGGGAAAAAGAAGCTTGTGAGCAAGGATAAATTATTTTGTGTGGATGCCGAACGCCGTCCGGAGACCAACCAGAATGCGTCATGTCATCCCTTGTTCGGTACTACGGCTCGATACTGCTCGATACCGCGGCTCGGTACTGCTAACATGACGCATTCTGGTTGATCTCTGGATAGTATTCTGCGCCTGGTCTCTGCACAGAATAATTTCTCGTGAGCTAGAGAATATTAGCACCAAGTAGTGAAAAGCCTATAAGAAAATTAGTAGGCGCGAGTGTAGAAGAACCACCAAAACATAACTAGCTCACACGAAAGAAAATGTAGAGCAGAAGTCAAGCAGGCAACGCCATAGCATAAAGAGATGAAGAGATGTGACGTGTCCTTTGTTATGAGTTTGCACTCCATAGGCAAGCAATGCAGGCCAGCACATTGCCTCATTTCACTACACCTCAATGAGTCAAAAACATTTAAACAGAGGAAAAAAAGAAAAACATTGTCAATTAGCAGTCGTAGCAGTTACACATCACATATTTACACTAAGGCTTCATTTGGGACGGCTTTTTCGCTGCTTCTTGAAGCAGCTTTTTAGTACAAAAATTTTAATTTTTTACTAAAAAGCTGTTTCAAGAAACAATAAAAAAACCGTCCCAAACGAAGCCTAAGGCAGAAAATATTCTCTACGACAAACACAACACATAAGTAGGCACCATGATATAGCTGCAGGTATCTAAAAAAAAATATTCTCCACAACAAACACAACACATAAAGAGGAAATGACATAGCTGTAATCATCAAGAAAGATTTTCTACCAACATGTACCAATTTATCAAAAATGTGAAGGTGAAATCAAATAAACCAAGCGCAATTTGGATAACTTCCAAGCCAACACATCACAGAAAATATATAGATTTCACTTAATATTCAAACAAAAAGTAAAATTCTGCACAACATAAAGTTCTTGTGATAAACTAGTTTTCAAAGGATCAGAAGCAAATACTTACAGAGATAATTGCTTATAAAATTTATAAAATAAGCACTGCAGAAGCAAGTCACACAAATGCCCATTTAATTATTCCAACGGAATCAAACCAATATTGAATGCTCAAGATAACTTGGCTGTAATACCACAACAAAGCTGCTTCAGGGATTGAAAGCCCTCAGCATCAATAGAGACGGAAGCCAAACACTTGGAGATCTCCTTCTCAGAGGCATTGTCAAAATCTAAACTTTTGCGGTAGATGAAGTAGCCACCACATTCCCACGCATGAAGATGATGCCCGGTCACCGGCAAATGGACCTGTTACAGCCAACCATCTCATTGCAATAAAGAAATCACATAATAACACAAAAGCCAAGCCACCCATATTTCAAGATACTTTTTTTTTTTTTTGGACAATTAGGGGATTCGAGCCCGAATGACATAGGAGGAATTTCTTCCATCGACCACTCGGCCGCAGACCCGATATCAAATTTCAAGATACTTGTCATTGGGTTAAGAGAAAAGTAAATAGGGAAAAGGCCAATTAAAGAATCTCAATAAGGTATAGCTTTGAACACTGACAGTAACAGCAAATATTTGGCACTGGACTCTTTAGGCTTCAAACCCGTGATCTCCCTATTGGAGATCAAAGGCAATGACCAAATGGCCCATGTAACGAGAAATTATTACATGCAGAGTCCGAACGTAGAGTTACGTCCGGACTCCAATAAAAATATAACACGTGTCCTTGTACACAGTGTATACACAATGTGTATATTATGTATATAAGTTTGTACACACTATGTATATAATTTTGTAATTTGTGCATAGTGTGTACAGTTGTACACCTGTACGCACTATGTACAAGGACGCGTGTCACGTTTTTATTGGAATCCGGACGTATCCGGACTCCGCACCTAAAATTTCTCCCATGTAACAGATAGGATTGATTTAACAAAAAGTTTCATAAGATAAATCATGAGGGGGAACTTTTGATGAACCTAGAAAAGGTATGGAGACCACCATAAAGAACAAAGGCTGCCAATTTCTAGTTCTGGATCACTAAAAAGTCAGTTGGTCATCCTCAAGTTATATAGAAGATAGAATATCACATCCCTTGTAAAACTTTGTGCATATCTTTCTAACAACATTCCCAGCCGTCACATATGTCATTTCTCACTAAACTGCTCAGAACTCTTTATTTAAAGACTAAGGCTTCGTTTGGAATGTCTTTCTTACTATTTCATAAAGCAACTTTTTAGTACAAAAATTAAAAAAATTTGTACTAAAAAACTGCTTTAAAAAGCAGTAAGAAAGCCATCCCAAATGAAGCCTAAGATGATTATGTAAAAAAATTGATGGCTACTTAAGAATTCATGTAAATGAATGAGTAAAGAATATCAATAATCATGAGAAGCACGCCTGGAATATAGTATCTACCTGAGGAAACAAGAACATCTTTGTTCCACAATCTGAGATCAGCAGATTAAAGACAGTATTGCGGTGCTGCAATGTAGAACATATTTCTCCTACTACATCAGCAAGCTTTCTCAGATTATTGCTTGCAAAAACCAGTGCATTTAGAGGATAATCTGCAACCTCCAGAATCTGTATCCCATCAATTAAACTACCATAGATGGGTATAATTGGAAGAAGCTCCACTGGGAGAGGATTGGCAAAGTAACTGGCCTGTCCATCAAATAAAGTAAAAGAATAAGCAATTTATATTAACAAGAATCTCCATCTTACACAATCAAAAGATGAATGATGGTGCTTTGCACAAATTTTAAAATTAGGAGGATTTACATACATTTGGCAAAGTAACTAGCCTGCCCATCAAATAAAGTAAAAGAATAAGCAATTTATATTAACATGAATCTCCATCTTACACAATCAAAAGATGAATGATGGTGCTTCGCACAAATATTAAAATTAGGAGGATTTACATACATAACACTTAAAATTATAGGATTTACATATTTAAAATCTAAACTTCACTATTTATTGTAAAAAAACATCCTGCTCACTCTCACCGTAAAAATTCTGTCACTGAATCACACACCCGATTCTATTTTCCTTTGCAAGGGAGATCTCATCACCCTTTTCCAACAACCAAATTCCTCGTCTTTCATAAGCGCCGGCCCTGTTGCTTTAGCTAGTGCCATGAATGCCCTTTCCCAATGAGATCCCATCGCAACCCTCCTCAACAAGATCCTGCCGCAACTTACTCATATCTTCTTCTTTGTCCAGTGGGAACCCATCACGATTTCCTCTTTATCAATGAAAGTTTCACAAGGGGTTAAGAAATGTTAATGAAGTGCCATATTATGTAAATAGTTAAGTATAGGTGTTAGATATGTAAAGATCATAGTTTTTAGTGCTATGTATATAAATCCCCCATAAATATTGAGATCTATTAGCAAAAGAAAGTGAACGATACAGAGGATATAAAAGATCCAACCTAATTTTCCTTAATTTAAAACTAGATTTGCTATTAGTGGACCTTACATAATATGACCCTATAGAACTTCCCTTATATAATAACATTCTAAAGAGCTTCTCTAACACAATCCAAAAGAAGAGGATTTGCATCATGATTGTTAACCTTATCCAACTATTTAAACTATTCTTCACAAACTCTTTTGAAATTCTATTAATTTATCTTAGATTTACCCATTTTCCTTCCTAATCCTCTAATACTAATTTCACACATGTCTAACAAAAGATGATTAGCCTAAAAATAAAATCTAAATACATAAAACTGTATAAAGTTCATAAGGTAACCGTGACTCAAAACACGAACATTTTAATTGGATGTGGTTGAAAAGCAACTAAATAAGGAATCAAATATTTTTTTTCATAGATGAACAAACACCGCAAGGATTAATGCTTATACAGATATATTAATACAAACAGTATAGGACAAGCTATCTAGTGATGCATTCTAATGTCAGTAAAAAAAGATTCACCTGTGCTCCACAAAAGAACTTCTCATCAAAATGCAAATGCCACTCATGAAAAGATACAGAAATATTTCCAAAGGATGCAATGAATGTGCAAGTCAAATGAAATACTAAAGATCATGAATAATAAAGCTACCTGGAAGTATGTTCGATCGGTATTTGTAGCCAAGTAATCATAAAACATTCTGAAGGATAAATTATCAACTTCATCAGCAATCTGGGTGATCAACTGAAGTGCTCCCCCAATAGATTGTGTCCTCTTATGATGGCAATACGGAACCAAGAAAATGTGCCCATATTCAATAGGATTTGCCTTGAAAAGCAAAGGAAATATAGAATCAGAAATATAAAGCAGATCAAGTTTTAGAAAATAAAGCTCAGTCAACTAGAGCTTACATTAACAATAATCAAGGTTCCCTCTTGAGGTGTTGCAACAAAAGGAACAAGCACAGATCTCTCCCTTTCTCCACTTGAAACACAGAAAAGAATCTCTTCCTGATTATTTTTAATATAGCTAGGTTTAATTATGCCCCCTGATGACTGGAATGCCTTTTTCTCAAACTCTTTAAGGAAATTTGAGTTCCATTCTTCATTCAATTGTGCAGTTAACTTCATCCCACCAACAATCTGCTGAAGCATCAACCAAACGAGTTAAAAAGAAACTAAGCTGAAAAGCCCTCCTCTAAAGCTCCATCTTACAACCAAAAATGTACCTTCGTCTCGCATGAAGTTACGTCATAACTAAGCCGACCCATCCATGCACGCTCTTCCCACTGTAATTTTGTCAGGATTAAATAAAAACAAAATCAAAACAAAATACAAATACCATTCTAATTATACAGTACCTGAGACAAGATGAGGGTGTCTAATAAGCTTTGCCCATCATCAGAAGTGCATGAAAACCCATCACAGGCCCCATTTTGTTTCGTAGCACATGCGAGATAAACTAGCGTCTCAAAACCTTAGATATTTCAAGGTATTGGAAAAATATTACCACTTCTGTTAGGCTAATGCAGAAAAAGTAGGGAATATTGGCACAACAATATTTAATCATTTGCTAGCGAGCTATCAATATTAAAAAATGAATATCAAATATTTTTATTTAAAAAAGAGGCCTTCTTCGACCAATTCAGGAACAGGATGCCACAACCCAATTTGTATTCCAAATTTAAAATTCAAGATATACAAATTTAAATGTTCATATGCACTAACCTTAAGCCCAACTTAACCATCTAATGATGAACACTAAGCTTACTATTTCAGAGAGTATAGCAATGCAATGCATAAGACGATGAAGATTTGAAGTTGCATTGACAAAAAGTTTTTCTTTTAATGCTTTTTGGTTAGTTTGCTTCTCACAATTCTGACAGAAAAATCTAATTGGTGCAAGAACATGCAACAGAAATCTTGTACTATACACATACCTCCAATGTGTGCAATCATAAATAACACTTTGCGAAGTAGCCTGTTCATCGCTGAGAGAAGAGATAACTAAATAACACAACAAGAGTATTGCAATAACAAATGAGGCTTAATACATTATATGCCAAAAATCAAAGATTTTCTCCTTAAGTTCCACATATATGTCTTGCTCCAATTTTGATAATCTTATTTATCCTGAGTTCACCAGATATTTCTCCCTCCCAATCCCACAATCCTTGATTTCACCTGATACCTTTCCAAACACAAAAATCATTCTTCCTCAAGGTTTCACCACAAAAAAAACACACATTTTGGCAGTCATTGATGTCTCAGAGATAGAAAATTCAACCAGCATCAAAATCATCTTTCTTCTTAGTTTACACCACAAGCAAGCACATAATGGCAGTTATTCATATATCAAAGTAAAAATAGAAAATCAAAACAGCATTACTACATAAAATAAACTAAAAACCAAGCACAAAATTTAGATAGTCTTCAAAAGTTCCACTGGTCCCATATTACAAAGACTTCAAATTAAATTGTATTGGAAGTTAAGAACATGTTGAGGCAAACGCATAGAGAAAAGGCTCAGTTTTAACCATGGAAAATCATATCTAAATTAGAAAAAAATATGCAACTGAAGTAACGTAACTCAAAATACAGTATTGAAAAGTTAAGAAAGAGAAGCACCTCTGAGAGGAGCTTCATGGGACTTCGACTGCTCCTGGCTGGCAGTTTGCTTCACAACAGGATAATCACCTTCGAACAAAGTGAACGACACCATATCTAATAATACTTACAACACACCAGATACCCGCTAAAACAAACTATAGAATAATTCCAAGCGCCTTCAAGCCTCTGCACCACCACCAGCAAGACAGGTGAGGTCCGACGGATGTCCGCCGGCAGAAGGCAGGGCGCCGCGACCACCGTGGAAAGCAGGGGAAGCAATCAAGAACTTAGGGAAAGCCTGCAGGCATTCTCTTCCCCTTTTGATAATAATACGAGATTCTCTGTTTAGAGCCGTGGTTAAATTACTGAAGCCAGCCCTAACCGGACTAGCAAATCCTCCTTAAAAGAACCACAAGAAAATCACGAAAATTCGTCAAAACACTCCTCAGATAGCCTTTCCAAATAGATCGAAGGAACAAATAAAAAAGAAAGAAAGAAAGATTTAAAAAAAGGGCAACGACGGCAAGATGGAAACTTTCTTCAGAATCTGCCAAAAAAAAAAACATAAATTCAACTAGTATTATATTAATTTCCAAAAAGATTGACAACATAGCAGTGGAGAACCCTAATTTCCTACCAAGTCACCCAGTCCTGCTTCGTGTACGATTCCGAAACCCTAAAACTTGGAAAGGAATGGTTTTGGGAAGTGAGCTTGCCGGGGACCGCTGAGCCGAAGCTACGCCAAGGAATTCCGGTAGTGGAAAACGGGTCTGCCTTCAGATTTTTTGGTTCGCAAGGTACAAACGGGACCGCAGATGACCAAAAGAGGGGGCCAATTAGGTAGATGCCGGGCTATTACAGCGATGATGTTAGTTCATCAAATAAATATAAAATTATAAATATAATTACTAATTAGAGCATCTAAAAATATAAAGAAAATTGATCTACATACCACTATATATTTATCATTTTATATATCTAATATCTCTTTTTTTATATTACACTTATAACACACAAATCTCTATTTCACATCATTTATACAACTCCATCTCCAAGCACGCTGACCACGTCTTTTTTCTCGATTTTTCGTTCTTTAGGGTATGAACTGATGAAGTTAAGAAGAAGGGGATAATGCCATTGAGATCGGACCTCTTCACAATCTAAGGTAAAAGAATGAAATTTTTGTTTCGATTTCAGGTGTAGATGATAAAAGCTTGTTTCAACTTTCTCTTCCACCCGTCTGTCGCTTATGCAGAAACTTGCATGTTTCGACTTTCTCTTCCAAAAAAAAAAAAAAAGATTGTACAAGAAGTTTGATAGGAAGTATGCTAGCAAAAACATAAATCAAACACAATGAGCTGTAGCGCCATAGGAAGGAAAATGCGAGCACAACAAGCTGTAGCGGAAGACAATACCTAAGAGCATAATCCGAGGAAGGGAAATCGTGAGAAGTGCCAGCAATGGGGGATTTTTGTGGGAAGGAATAAGTCCGAGACAACACACGAGGCTATATACGCGAAGAAGAGGGAGTTTCGGCAGGAATACAACGCCAGGCCATCAACTGACGCCTAAATTATGCAAAGTCACTGTCGGGCTACTGACTAATGCCCCAAACTTCAAAGTGATGCCAGATTTAATACTAGACTTCAACCATACGGTTGACATTTGTAATCTGATCGCCATCTGGGACGAGTCAGCCCACTGTACTCAACACAAATTCTAGTGAAATCTTTTCAACTTGACTAGTCCCCGTGGATTTTCCCCTTTCCAAAGTTTTCCATGTAAAAAATCTTATGTTCTCTGTGTGTGAGCTGGATATCCGTGCAACACTATAAGATGTAAAATTACAACTCTATCGCCGCTTATATTCTAGCCCGCAACAGGTATATAGTGGTATGTATGTAAATTTTCCAAAATGTAAGCAATAAAGTATTTAATTTAAGTAAAATCAATTTAAATTAAATCATTATAATATTTTATTCAATAAAGATATATACTTTGCTAATTATCACATGCTACAACAATTATAATAGTAAGAGTTATTCTAATGATATCATAAAATGGTTTCGAATTATATTACAAATAATATCAATTGTATATTTCATTATTTTCTTTGAATAATAGGTTGGTACAATGTAGTAGATATGACTAGTGAAAATGACCACATAGTGGAAGCAGATTGTGATGGCGGCCGATGGCTACGACATAGGTGGTGGAAGCTGGCGGTGGTGGCAACTGGTTGTGGTGGTAATTGATGGCAGCAATCGACAGTTGTGGCCGCCAACAATGGTAGTGGCCACTAACAATGGTAGTGGCTAACGACAGAAAATGAAGTTATAGTGTATTTGAAAATTATTCAAATCGTATGAATTCTAAATACACAAAAAATGAATTAAACAATGAAATTTAAATACATTAATATTTTAAATTGCATTGTTTGACTTCAAACCAAATACCAATATTCTCCAAAACACTAACTACATTTAGAATACTTTACATCCCTTTTACATTAAATGAAAGCCCCTTAATGTTTGTTAGAGATGATTATAGTGTTTTATGAAGTTGATTATGAAATTATAATGTGAAAAATAACTTAATTACTATAGTTGAAACAAGCAACTTTACACAATTAAAAAAAAAGTGAGAAAACAAAAAAGAATAATAATAACCGAATGAAATTGTAATTGCTATCTAAAAATTAAATAAATTCTTTTCCAAACAAACCCTTAAATAAAAACTATTTATTTTACTGTTTTTAAAATGTAAACCAGTAAACCTATTAAAATAATTTTAAAATTTTTTTAATAAATTTGAGAGAGATTTTTAATTTGAAATTCACATCCCTAAATTTTCTTGGAATTTTCCTTAATCATATTTGCATGCACAATATTTTTTTCAAATGAAAATCCACCCTACTTAAAATTACCAAACTATCCCCGAGCAAACCAAAGGTCATGGCATAAATCTCATTGGTGAGGTTCAATGTTCTAAAAATATTAAATTTTTTCTTAAAATTATTGGGGTGATTTCCTATTTTTCATAATTGAAAATTTAATATTTAAATATTAAATATTAAAAAAATACTTTAAATGCCCTTAAAATTTTTGGGATTGCATCAATATATCACACCTCATGAAGGCTAAATTATCTCACACATGCAAAAAAAAAAACTACAGTTGATAGGGCAGTTCTCCAAATTAGTTTGATAATGACGAAAATCATGAATTAATAATGCTTCCTAAAACCTCAAAGATAATTTTTCTTACTGTTTTCTAAAACAACTTCTTAGTACAAAAATTTCTCGAAATATAATGACTTTATTCTTAGAAATATAATGTGAAACGAGCATATACCTGAAAATATTAGAGTAGCTCCAATGGCAGATAACGATTAGAGAGAGTCACCTTAGATAATTTGGTCATATCATATGATAGACTTTTTGATGATATAGTTAGGAGAGTAAATGTATTAGATTTAACTTATATTTAAGAAAGATAGAGATAGACCTAAAAAGACTTGATTAAAAAATATTAAAAAAAACATTTATTTATTATATTAATATAAGAATTTGGCTCGTAGTGAACTTATTTTGTGTGCATACAAACGTTGTTCTGAAGGCGAATCAGACCGCACCATGACACTCTTTTGTTGTGTATTACAGCTGTGTACCCACTATGTATCGGATGACGTGGCACGCCCTGATTCGCCTTCGGACGATCCGGTGTCCACACAAAATAATTTCTCCTTAATATGAACCAATGGAGAAAAAGGATTCATTGCTGCTTTGCATTGCTCTGAAGAACTGATAACATCTGAGCTTTATTGTAGAAGTTGAATGAAAGAATGGGCATGAGACTGAGGATTCGTTTGGGACGACTTTCTTTCTGCTTCTTAAAGCAGCTTTTTAGTACAAATTTTTTAATTTTTTACGAAAAAACTGCTTTAAGAAACAATAAGAAAGAGCCTGAATGTTCTTAGTTGCAGCAACTGAACATAAACTCAAAATAGACGACCAACTTCAGAGGTAATTCTGACAAATTACCAGAATGAGAGCGTAAATGGTGGATCAGAGAGGCTTATAAATCTACCAGCAAGCAATCATCTTAGACATTCAACCAGATTCTGAATCACCTTGATGTAGCTGTTTCACCTTGGAGTTCTCTTTGAACCAGTTTTAGAATTTCCATAACCTGATATTGAAAGAAATTGATGGCTGAGAACAGATAATGCAGCATAAGTTGTATACGGATAGCTATGGAAAAATTTATGTATGAAGGATCATATCAGCAATAGATCACTCAAATGGAAGGGTGGAAGGAAGAATAGTGCAGAAGAAGCAACAAATCTTCATCGCTTTCCAGCAACTCAACCTAATGAAAGACCATAACAAAAAAGATTTAAGGGATCTCAACATTTTCAACAAAATGTTTCTCTTGCTTGTTCTCACTATAAGAGCACAGCCTCCTTGCTGGCTTCACTTTCCCTCATCAAGCTCTACTAAAAGATCTTAATTACGCAAATGAGAAAATGAAGCTAAACTTTTTCAACCTGCCAACCCACGAAAATCTCCATCAAGCCAACAAACACAATCTTAGGCTTCATTTGGAACGACTTTCTTGTTGCTTCTTAAAACAGCTTTCTAGTATAAAAATTTTAATTTTTGTACTAAAAGTTGCTTTAAAAAGCAACAAAAAAGTCGTGAAGCCTTAATCTAGATAGTAATGGCCCAATCTTCCCTAAAATTCAAAATACCACTTTGGAAGCTTACAAAGGGAATTCATACCCCACAAATATTATTGCTCGGTTTGAGTCAACAATATCATTGCTCATTGCAAGGGATGAAGTGAAGTGCAGATTACTCTTTACAACATTTAAGAAGGCACCATATTACGATGGTTTTCGAAAGCTCCATACAAAGGCATAGCAAATTTTGTAGAACTCAAGTGACTTGTATTACACAATTTGTAAGTGCTCAATGACCTTTGAAAAGCTCTCAAGCCCTATTGAATATTAGGTAGGAACCTAATGAATCCCTTAAGCGATTTGTAACTCATTTTCAACGTGAAATGATAAATGTCAATGATAGAAAGTTTGTAGTCACCCAAGCTACACTTACTCAAGGTCTTCAAGAAGGATCTTACAGTATGATCTCAGATTGCAGCAACCAAAAACATTGGCTAAATTCGTAGAACTCACCTAGAATGATATAAATGCAGAAGAATCTAATAGTGTTGCAATTTTTATCTGAAAATTTTTATTTGATGTCAATGCTTAAAAAAAAAATCTACTTTTAACGAAGAAATATTTAATAAAACTTCTCTAATGTTTAATTCAAATATACTCGAGGAACTCATCTAATAAATTCATGGCCACAAGCTGACTATCCATTTTCTAACAAATTCAAGAAGCAAAGACCATATAAAAACCTAAGTTTTTTATATGGAGAAAAAAACAGGACCTAAATTTTAATGACTTTCCTGTTCATATATTGCAAATGTGATCTTTAAAAGTCCAGAGATCCACGAGTATGACAATATTTATTTAGATGCCATAGTTCATCATGACAAACTCAATTCATCTACTTGATAATCAATTTGTCAATAAAAAGCCATCCAATGCAACACATTTGGAATCCTCGAGTGAATCCAGAAATGGCCTCAATCAACACAAGTGATCTCACACCCTGTAAATAGAGACTAAGGTTTCGTTCGGGGCGGCTTTCTTGCTGCTTCTTAAAACAACTTTCTAGAAGCAATAAGAAAGCCATCCCAAACTAGGCCAAAATCTGTCGTGTAGCAGCCAGAATCTGGAATCTTACATAGCAAAAGAAGGCAGCATATATTTGACAGTAAAGCACGAGCCTTTTCATCCTTAAATTATCAATTTAAGAGATAAGACTGGAAAATATCAAACTAATTGCTACCCTTGCGAAAAAAATTGATGACATAGTAGCAAAGAAAGTAAAAGATTAGCAACTACATGGAAATTCCCGCAAAATAATATACTACAGAAGAAAACAGCAAAAACAACAAGAAAAGCTGAAACGAACTTTACCCCGGGATAGTGTTGCAACACTGGTGAGTAATGATCAAGTGCTACATATACCTTTCCAAGAACAGACAAAAGTGCATCTACCTCATCACCAAGTAGATCGACCTGAAATCAATAAAAGCCAAGCATAAATATTCTGGGAGAATTAAAAGGAAAGTCAGTTCCTTGCATTATTAGCTTAAAATAATTGTGAAAAAATACTTCCTCTAGTAGTAGTCACAATGAAGAAGCATACAAGACTTCAAAGGTCAAACGAACACAAAGAAAAGTAATAAACATTTAAAGAAAATATGACATGATTTCACAAATTTGAATGGATTTAGAATTGAAATATGTTAGACAGGTCCATTGGACCGGTCTAGCTGATCCACGCGGGACCGACCCAGTGCAACCGAGGTGGACGATCTCCGCCTCTTTCCGTGTGCGTTCGGTCCGCATGAGCCAAATGAGTATTTTATGAAGGATTTTTGAGGGTTTTGGGAGGGAAATTTGAATGTAGGGATTGTTTAGGGATTCCCTTTTGATTTGTATGCATTAAGTACTTTGTTTTCCTATGATTAGGGCATCTTGAATTTGGCTGAAATTTAAGATATCTTAGATTTTGGTTTTCCTTTGGGCTCTAGCGGCGTCTAGAGATTGGGAGAGATTGATCCTCCTCTCGAATAGATGATCAATTGTATCTTGGTAATTTCCGCTTTCTTTTCATCAAATAATACAAATTATCTACTGTTTTTGTGGTTTTATGTGGATTTTTGTGGAGAAATCTCGCTGTTTTCCTAAGATTGATAGGAAATACTTGAGATCTACAAGTGCTTCCTATCAAAATATTAAATAGAAGCCTAAACCCATGTCATAAAGGACAATGTGAAGGCTGGAAAACCATAATTCAAAGATCTTTTATTGGATGGGGGTGGGCAGCGATGTACGTGCATGAACAAACCTCGACCAGAACCCACTAAAACCAGCTATGATGCAACAATAAGGCATTTTGCTCACAACAAATTTATATTTATAATGAAAAACCATAATTTAGCTCCAAGATATTACAGGTCCTGACTATGTGGCAAATTCAAAGAAAATAGGCAATGATAAAAGTTATAAATTAAAATGAAAGTACTGAAACCTACAATAGTAGAGTGAATGGAGTAAAGAAACGCAATTGAGATTTACCTCAGCCTCAGCTGTCTGCAGGTTCGAATTTCTTATTTCAAACATCCTTTTGTACCAAAAACCCTTCTTCAGCAGTAGATTTACTTGTTGCTTTAGTGAACTGCAGTGGTTGCTCAAGACCCTTAACCTGGACATATAACAATAGGAATTTCTTAAAAAAAGAAAAGAAAAGAACACAATGAAACCATTCAAATAAGATGACACATTCCACAAGCTATATACACAAAATGAACCTTAAACTACCATCAGTGTGTGTAATTTGATCTGGGGCGGCAATGTACTGAACTAGACATCATTTAATTTAATGCGATTTCTAATGAAGTGCTAGTCAGCTTCGATATACTTTGTAAGAGCATAAAAAAATGGGGTTCCAGGATGTTGCAAGATCTGAGATATTCTTCTATAATAGCCTGTAGCCCGTTGAGGTAGAGATCCCAAATTCTTGTAGTCATCATTGCAACAAGATGATATCTATGTTGGAGATAGCCAATGCGAAATATTCTGCTTTTGTGGAGGAGCAAGCAGTTATTGTTTATTTCCTGACAACTTAGGTTACAAGTGCGTCACCACGAAATGTACAATAACCAAAGGTCGACTTCCGAAAACTAGCAACTCTAGCCAACTTTGAGTCGGAATAAGCTCTTAGTTGAAGATTTCCACAATGAATTTGGAGACCGTAGACAATTGTGGCATAAATGTAACGGAGTAAGCATTTGAGATGACAAAAGTAGATGTTAAGTTGGTTGTTGACTTCAACACTAGTGTCGGGGTAGGGTCGACTGTGCACGGTGAATTTTAAAAGCGAAAGAGCACGACGTCGCGCATAACTCACCCGACGCGTGTCGACTGAAAACTTAAATCGCCGAAATGTCCTCAATTTGCAAAACGTACTATGTCAGCACATCCGAAGAAATGGTAACAACTAAGATCGATACCCATATTGGCTAGGGTTGTCGATCGACAAAACTTAAAAATATTGTGCACGCAAATCGAGATGGCTTTAACATGCGTGGCCGACAACAACGATGTGACGACTGGGTTGAAGCAAATGGAAATCCTAAACAACAACTCTGAAGGCAGTTTGCATTGAGTCTTCCAAGTTCAGCATGTATTCAAATATCTCTAAAAAACCTATTATTTGATAGATTATCATAGATAACTACTTGCAAACTTAAAATGACAAGCCATCTGTCACTGCATTGAGTTTTAATCAGATTAGTGCATGATTAAACATGTTCACAGCTGCAAATGGAGATGAAAACCTGTCCCAACTTCCAATAACAGCAACTCATATATTCAATTAAATAACGCATAAAAATCCTATGTTATATAAGTGCTCCAAGAAGGTCATAAACAAACCTAGATTCATTTCTTTTAACAGTCTCAGCCAACTTGCTTTCAAAGTCTAAAGATACTTCTGATAATGTTCTCCATGAGCTCGCCATCAATTCCACCTGTTTTACTTCTTGATTATTTCCATCTATAATTGAATATGGTAATTTATTTTCCTTTTCTTTAATTATATCATTGAGGATGGTCTTCTCCCTTTCTAATTCCTCCAAAGAACTGGAAGCAATAGCTAACTTTTGATTCAGATTATCTATCTCCATCTCATAGACATGAAGTTGTTCTAGAGCATCATCAAACTGACTCCTCATGAAATCTGAATGAATTTTGTTTCCAGAAATGATGAGGTTTTGCTTGCTTAGTTGTTCTCTCAGTAGATCGAGTTCCCGGTTAACCAGGTCAACTTCCTCCTTTTGCTGCTTTATAGTGGACCCCGCTTCAAACACAACTTTCTCCTTTTCACTAATCAATGCGGATAAGGAGGTTATTTCCTGCTTAAGATTGTTGTTTGCTTCAATTGCAGAGCGTAATGCCAATTCCTTTTCTGAAAGGATTGGTTCAAGGGAAGCCTTTTCTGCTGATTGTTTGAGTGCAATAGTATTTCTCATAAACATTTCATTTCTGGTAGATTCTTTAACAAAAACTGAGTAGAGATCATGGATAAGGTTGCTCTCCATCTCAGCAACCTCCATTTGAAGACAATGCTTACTGATTACCTCCTTCAAAATGATAGCATCTAATTCTTCTTTTACAGTAACTTCTGCATTCAAATCTTCAAGGCCCCCTTTCAGATTCATTATCTGTTCCAATAAGTTTTGGTTTACTGATGTATTAAGCAACATTTGGCTTGCAGCATCTGTGACCTGTACTGATAGATGCTCGACCTCCTTCCTTCTTCCCATAAGTAAACCATGTAGCCTTTGATTTTCAAAGAACATGGAATTAATTTTATTCTTCAAACTACAGACCTCATCACAATCATCTTTAACAACAGAAGGCATCTCCTTCTCCACTAGTATATCATCCAAATTTAAGATAATTCTGCGGACATTTTTCTTTAAATGCTCAAACTCCTTATCTTTCTTAGAAAGAAACGAGTCCTTTTCCTTGAGGAATTCCCTCTTCAGCCTGAACAACTCATCTGTTTTCTCTTCCATAGCTTTGTCATGTTGCCTCCGCAATTTAGTCATTTCAATTTTATAAAAAGCGGCGAGATCCTCCTTTGACAAGTGTTTTAGGTGAGGAAAGTCAGCAATTTCCAACATGGGTTCTCCAAATTCTGGAGGTTCCGGCATGATACTAGCGCCATTTTCCCCGGTATGTGCTACAAAAGATGAATGATTATTTCCCAAAGCCTTAAGATGAAATTGATCTTTCCACCTTATATTATTCAGTTCTTCTAAGCTTTCACTACTGCTATGAGAGAGCAGAAGACTTTGATCTGAGTTCAATAAAGACTTAGAAATAGAATCAAGATCTTCTCGTACCGAAGAAAGTTCACTGACCTTCAGCTGATAATTTGTACTTAGAGCATTAATCAATTTTCTTTGTTCCAAAATCTTAGTTTCACACTCTTTCTGAATATCTCTGACAAAATTCTGAACAAGAATAGTACTAATTTCTTCATGCAACTCATGCTCCCAATTCTGTTCCATAGTTGAAACTTTCATAGAGCTGAACACATTACTGATTTCATCAAAAATGCCAACTAACATTAATCTCAAATCATCAATTCTTTCACCAAGCAAATGCAATTTCTCATCTGTCCTTACTTGAGGAAGAAGTTTGCACACCATGTTATTTGTAGAGAAACCATCAATTGAACCAAGAGAATTCGAATTTCTTGCACACTCGAAGTCCTCCTTAAGCCTCTGAATCTGATTGTCAACAGAAATCTTTATTCTACCCAAATGTTCTGGGTAGTCCATGCCTGGCAATGATTTGATCTGTAAATTATCAAGAATCAACTTCAAAGGGTCTGATACCACCATTGAAGGCTCTAAACGATCAACAGCAGCAGCAATGTGAGTAGATGTCTGCAACTTCTCCTTCAAGATAGCTATCTCTGCTTCCTTTGAAGCAACTTTCTCTGCAGTTTCCTCAACTACAGCATTCACAATCCCCTTAATGACTGAGTCAGTCACCAATCTTGAAACTGTAAGACGATCGTTAATCTCATCCACATAATTGTCAAAATCATCAAGGAGAAACTTCTCATAATGTGCTGATTCATTTCCAATAGTATCTGCCTCATTAAAATAGATGCCATCCATTATGTTCTCTTCAGCTGCAGAACCAACCTCCTCATCCAAGAGGGAGTGCTTATTCCACACCAGCTCCTGCAGTATTAGTAAAAAGTTTTTCAGCTAAAAATCAATCAGCAAAGAAAACAGCAATATGCAAGGTTGTCTGATTCATTGATATCTATGATATAATATTATGTTAGTAACACATGAATTTGTTTGGGTTAATATCTTAAACTAAGATTGCAAATGACAATTAACTCCATTTTTAATGACATTTAGATGCTAGCCAAATATATTGACATCTAAACATTAAGACTTCGTTTGGTTCTTCCTCTCATTTTGTAAAAAATAGTTTTAGAAACAATGGTCAAGGGAATGGGGTTTTTTAATGGAGAAGCAAATATAAAAAAGCTTCTCAAAACAGTAGAAAAATAAAGTTCCCTGAAAAGCATTTCTATAGAAGTGTCCCATCCAAACAACGACCAAAAAATAATTTCGCTGTTTCCAAACGGAAAAGGAAAAAAATGCCGAAACAAACGAGGCCTAAGTTATTTGATGGCAAATCAAATGACAAAAAGAAAGAAAGATTATAGTCATCACTAATCATTTTCAATAGGATTGTATTATTTGAGTAAGATAGCACTGACCAAATTTATTGTATTTGATAAACATCAGTGCTATTTGAATGATATTCTTATCTAGATAACGCTGCTATCGAGACCACCCCAAAATTGAATCCAGTAAACCAAATGAGGATCAAAGAAAACTAATTACTTGGTTCATGTGCTCTTAAGGAACTTAAAAAATTATAAAGCCCTGAGATAGAAAATTCCAGTTGAACAACCAGTACCACACAATCCTGGCCACTTAACTGTAGCCAACAGCCATAGCGCTTTCTTACAAAAGATAAATTTATCAATTATTCCTGGAGCGAAAGGGATAAATGGCCTCATAATAGAGAGCTAGAGAGACTTTCTGAGTTGCAACAATACGAGAGAGATGGAATTGGAGAGGAGGAAGAAGAAAAAGACTTGATGAGCCGAAGTCATTTCAGGAACAGAAGTACCAGTACTCAACTTCCGAAACGGAGAGCTTCGCGATCAAAGCTTGAGGCTTGGGACAGTCAAGAGGCCACGAAGCAATGCGCAAGCTTTAGAACCAGAGCCTTAAACTAAAATAAACAAAATCAAAACTCACATGCCACAAACACTTACCCGATTAATCATCCACCCAAATAACAAGGTAGATAGAGCCAAAACCCACTCGAAATCACTTCATCACCCACCTCTCCCAAATATCCCAACCAGCTAAACCCAGAATTCGATCAAAACATAGAAAATGAATCACTCACCGGTTCGATCCGCTCCATTGGAAGTTTCCCGCCAAATTCGTCTAGAATTTCCCGCCGGCGGGAGCCTTCACGAATGCAAATCCCTTCTTTCCTGCGCCGCGTCTACCACATCAAATGTAAAGGAGTGACCTTTGGCCCCCAAGCTTTCTTCTTTAAGCATCCTTCTCCTTTGTGTCAGATATTTTTAGGGTTAGAGAGAGAAGCGCCTTCGTGAACGGAGGAGAGAGAATGGTCGAGCAGAAAATATTCGTGGGCTGAGAGAGAGGAGCCGCTGAAAATTCCAAAAAGTGTCTTGTCTGAATATGTCCCAGGTTGCATAATTTACGATATTGCCATTGGGAAACCACGGTCAATGGTTATAGTAATTTTTTTGCTAAATTATGGGCTTGGATCGCACATTCCCATGACCCGCCCAATCCGAAGAAAAGAATTTTTTTAATTATATTTGTTTAAAAAAAATTATTCTTAGTATATTTTAATGAAAGTATAATGCTATTATTTGTTTTTTTAATGGAATGCTAATATGATATTTGATATATTTCAAAAAAAAAAAAAAATCCACTTTATTGGCTTATATCTTGATTTATTATTTTGTATTGAATATTTTCAAGATTAATTGCCGATTTTTTTTTTTAAAAAAAATTCTTCATTTTTTTTCAAAAAAAAAAAAAAATAATTGCCGAATTTTCTGCTTTGATTTCAACAAATTTATAGTTGAATTGAATATCTCGATAAGACAAACTCAAGGACACCAAAGATAATGTGATTCAAAATCATTCAATTCCAATGTCATTATGGAATTAAGTGCTAAATAAATTTTTTTTATAGTCAAATGATTCAATATTAGGTCATTTGATGAAGCCTTGTGAAATTTTGCTACATTGGCAAAAATGCACTCTAAAAAATTTGTCACAATCATCATTGTCTAATCATTGTTGCTCGGATGTTAAAGTTTATCTCACATCGTTCAACAATTGTCGTTTGATTGTTATTGTTAGATTATCATTTTCTGACTATCATCATCCGAACAACATCACCTGATCACTGTCATCTGATCGCCATCGTTCGATAATCATTGCTTGACTAACATAATATAATCGTAGGCACCATCCCTCCACTATTTTTCTCACAATTTCAACTATAATTATAAGAGACTAAACAAGTACTCCTAATTTTGTAATTAAGTCTTCTCCAATTATGAGAAGAGCAAACATCCATACTTCAAGTATTTAATGGATTATTTTAACTAGGCTAGTCCAATGTTTTTTTTTTTTCTTTTTTTGAATTTTTGATTTTTTTCATGTGAAAACTTAGATGTAGTTAGACGATAGTGACCAGGATATCATAATTGTGTGATGGTTATCAGAATGTGGCGGTCGATAGAGTACAGTTGGGCAATAGTGATCGAGATGTGATCAATTAATGGTGATTGAGATATCGTATTTGAACAGTGAGACAATGGTCAGAGAATTTGTCATGCCCCATAATTTAAAGGGAGAATTTAACCCTAAACCTAATTATCTCAATCAAATCATGACACATACTAGAGCCGACTAAACAATTCAAAGCCATTGAAATAACATAAAAGATCAATCAAATTTCATATCCAAAAGAATTTCAAAATTTTTTTTTTTGGAAGATGAATCTAAAAAATTTCCAACAGATTAGGAGAAAAGTAAATGAGAATGAACCGCGACCCATTGAAAAAATAAATAAGAAGTCCCAACATTTGATGTGGTAAGTGAGCCAAAGATATTCTTAGCTGGTTATAAAAAAAATTAATGAATTAGTTTGATTTGTATAAGATAAATGGCTTTGAAAGATTTAGCTTTGCTATGTAAAAACTAATAAGCCATGCCAAACGGTTTTTGGAATTTGATCACTATAGAAGAGATAATTGGTAAGAGGTAAATGTCAAACTTCACTTGGGACAGCTTTTTAATTACTTTCTAAAGTAACTTTTTAATATAAAATTTTTTGTACAAAAAAATCATTTTAAAAAGCAATAAGAAAGCTGTCCCAAATAAAACCTTGCTTAAGGTTCGTTTGGGACGGCTTTTTTACTGCTTCTTAAAGCAGATTTCTAGTTTAAAAATAAAAATTTTTAAACTAGAAAGCTGTTTTAAGAAGCAATAAAAAAGCCATCCCAAACGAAACCTTATGCTTCATTTGGGACGGCTTTTTTATTGCTTTTTAAAACGGAGTTTTAGTAAAAAATAAAAAAAATTGTACTAAAACTCCCTTTTAGAAAGCAATAAAAAAGCCACAAACGAAGCCTAAATCTCGACTTGGATAAGCATATTGGAAATTGAGAACTACACTTTCTTACACCTATATTTGTCTATAATAACATAATTTTTAAAATACAAAACAAACACCTTTTGAAGTTGTGTATGGTTATTACCCAAAAACATCTAATCTAACATATTTACCATCATATGTATGTTTAAATGCCACATTAATGAGCTACAAGTTGATGAAATAAAGAAAATTAAAATGAGAAATAAAAGTTATTTGGGTTTTGTTTGGGATAATTTTCTTCATGCTTTTCAGAGCAGCTTTCTAGTTCAAGAATTTCTTAAACTCGAAATTTTTGTATTAGAAAGCTGCTTTAAAAAACAATAAAAAAAAGTCCCAAACGAAACTTGAATCAACATATAAGTGCTTGTGATCTATTAAAAAAGAACATCAATAAGATAAGGAAAAGAGAGAACTTGCAGAAAAAAACTGATGTTGTTTTGTAGTCAAATCATTAGCCACATTGCAGTGAAAAGTCTCAAGAAAAAACAAAAATGAAAGGAAGCTAACATGTGAAGGCATGTGGAAAGTTTGATTGTGGCCATTTTTTGAAAGCAACTTTTCTAGGCATGAAAAAAAAAAGAAATTATTAGATTTTGATTATATTAGGGTTGTAAGTGAGCTAAGTCAGCTCAACATCGACTCGTTAATGAACTCACGAGTCAAATTTATCAAACCATGAACCACTCGATTAAGTCAAAATCATTTTCTCGGCTCTTAAATTCGTTGAGTTGCTTGATTAACTGACAATATATTTTAAATTATAAGTTAAATTAGCATTATATAATACTTAATTATTTTTAAATTAGTTATGTATTCCAAACAAGCTTGAGCAATCAAGTCGAACTTGAGCCTCTAAAATTGGAGTATGATCTAATGCAATCAATCAAGTTTGTCTAGGGTGAGTTGGCATGATCTATTTTAGTTCCTCAAAAAGCCAGTTTGTAAAGGTGTCAATATTTGACACGATCCGAAAATCCGAACCGAACTTGACCAGAAAATTTCGGGTTCAAGTTAGGGATTTCAACCCATTTTTTAAAACAGGGTCAAGTTCGAGTTGACTCGGAAATCTGAAATCAACCCGGTTTGATCATTTTTAATTGATTTTGGAGAATTCTAGAAAGTTGTTATGAAATAAGTAAATGTTATTTCTAAAAAATAATAAATCATATTGCCCAAACTAAATAAAGCTTGATTTATTTTAAATTGATTGAAAGTAATCTTACCTTAATTCAATTAGCCGAAGACATTTCTTGACAATATATAAATAAAACATTGGACCAAGTTAAGGGATTGGGGCGGCATGATATATATATATATATATATATATATAACACATGTGCTTGGACGAATGGGTTAGGAAAATTTTAAGAAAAAAATTTAAATAAAAATATTTTAATAAAGCATAAAAGAAACGGATTGGTTCGGATCCGAGAAACCGACCCGTTTGCAAAAAAGGGTCAGGTTCTGGTTGAGTTAAAAAAAGTGCATAAACGGGTCGGGTTAAAAAGTGTCGGGTTAGATTTGGGTTCGACCCGAACCCGACCCGAAACCCGCTTTTGACAACCCTACCAATTTGATCTCCATGACGTGCAATTCCACGTATTGGGGTATATACTAACCACTTATCTGCCAGTCTTCATCTTTAAAGTAATTTTCCTTTATCTGCTGAATAAGTAGTAGGTAAGCAGTCAAGAAAGCAGCCACTACAAGCCATCATTAACCATCAAGAAACTTTCTCACTGGCCACTGAGAATGGTATCAAAGCATATACAATGCTCTGCTAAGGCCAAAATCAGAATAGACTGCTACTGCTATAGCAGCACTTATGATGGGCAGCAACAAGCAATCAATAAGCAAAGTAGTGGCCATAGTCAATAAACTCCTGCCTTTGTGTGAGCTCCAAGCTCATTATTATTCCATCTACTCTTCCTCATGATGTGACAAGCAATGACAAGAGCATCATGCCAATTTATTTTCGATGAAATTTCGGTGTTTCATTTGGAACGGTTTTTTACTGCTTCTGAAAGCAGCTTTATCATGCAAAAAATTTAAATTATGTGTCACAAAGCTGTTTTAAGAAGCAATAAAAAAGTTTTGTAAATGAAACCTAAATTTGTATAGTATTTAACGTTGCAGGTTCTTTGTGACAACTAATGCAATATGCAGTTTCTACAACTTGGTCGTTCTTATCTATTCTTCCAATAATTGAAAGATATTTCATGTTGTTGAGCACCCCATGGACTGGTAGAAGATCTTCAACACATCTCCCGTTGTTCACAACAATATTAGATTGCTGTTAATATTTTCTGTTATGTCCTGGAATATTTGCGGCGATAGAGAAATGTAAAGTTTAACGTCTTAGTTTTGTACGAAGATCCAACACACAATCTGAATTTTGCATTCATAAGAGACATTGGAGTTTTTATGTGGAAACCCCTGAAAAAGGGGGGAAAATCATGAGGCTTGATCCAGTTTAAATGAATCAACTAGTGTTTGCAATCAATTACAAATGAGGCAATTACTTGGGGGAAAGGCCTTGGTTTGATGTAGCAAATATACATCATAGAGAGTGCATTAGATGGTGGGAATTGGAAGAATCAGTATTGACAAGTTTGTTAAGTCGGTAGGACCATAGTCGGCGTGCGACGGACGTTGGAAAGTATGTAGTCAGGTGACGGTGGTCGGAAGGACCCCGTAGTCGGCAGGCAACAGAGGTCGACAGGACCGTTGTTAGACGATGGAGGTTGAAAGGACCAAAATCGACATTCGATGAAGGTCAAAAAGATCGTTATCTGGCGACAGAGGTTAGAAGGCTCATAGTCAGCGGGTGACAGAAGTCGGAAAGACCATAGTCTGGTGACTTATTTCCGAATGACAGTAGTTGGCAGGCAATGGATATCGAAAGGACTGTAGTTGGGGATGACGGTGATTAGAAAGACCGTTGGCTGGCGACAAAGGTTAGAAGGG